TCGGTAGATTTTGTTTTAGCCCTAAATCTTCAAGTAAATTTAACAGCCATTGTTCTTCTTGAGCTGTATTAACTGCTGCAACATACTCTGCTCCAGTTGAAGATAATGCAATGCAGTTTTGCCTTTTACTGCTCCATGAAATGCAATTCTTTCCTAGTTTGAATACAGAAGCTGTTCGCACATTTTTTAGATGATTTTGGTAAGCAGTAATAAAAAATCGTTTTCTGCAAAAGAAGTAATTGCAATTGTACTATGTTTTCAAAAGTCAAAATTATCGTCTATGGCTTGAAAGTTTGTTTTCATTCAAAATGGCGAATTTAACAAAGCAGTGGTTCGAAGGCTACATTTACGCTCTTTCCGAAGAGAAATATGCATACTCCGTTATCCAAAAACCATATGAGAGTCATGGTTTTGTGATATCTAAAGCGTCGATAGGAATATCATCAACAAGAAAGGAAAAAAACGTAAAATTGGAGCCTCAATTGGAACAAAAATTCCAAACAAGTATCCAAGAAAAAAACGGACATCTTCAACTATTGCAAAGGTACGTTGTTTAATGTTAAAAGAAAATCCCCCTAGTCAAAGGACAGTTGCAAAATCATTAAAATGCTCGATGTCCACTGTAAACAAAATGATAAACGTTGATTTAAATCTTAAGAAAGCGAAAAAACGCAATGTGCATCGTCTTCTTCCAAAGCATATCGCTCAACACAGGACACGCTGCAAAATTCTATATGAGAAACACTTATCCAAAGAAAAATGGAAAACAATTGTCACAATAGATGAAGCATGGGTGTATTTAAATAATTGTAACAAAAAAAGAGCCATTTATTATCATAAAAGGGGAGGAAAAAATTTAAGTACATGGTTCAATGGAAAGAAAGTTTTTCTAAGGGATTCATGATTGTTGCTGGTTTTTCTTATAATGACAAGTTAAAAATAAAGAGAGTGTAAAAAATTGTCAAGATAAACTCCAAATACTATCAGAAACATATTTTATCACCAACTTTCCTGAACGAAATACCATCGCTTTACCCACTGTGCCATCAATCTGTGAGACTCCATCGGGACAAAGCTAGCAGTCATACATCAAAATCCACTGTAAATTTCGTAAAAGAAATGGAATGAAAAACTAGTATCAAGGCCATACCCTTCACTGATATCCCTACTAAATCTCCCAATGTGTCACCTATAAATTTTTGTGCTTTCAGACTTAAAACTGCATTATCCAAACGTTGTCCCAAAACCCTAACAGGACTCTGGAGAGCTGTTCGGGAGGAATAGATAGAATACCTCTTCTGCCACTTCAAAAGGCGTTATTATCCTGGAAATTGTGGTGTCGAAAGATAGTTCAGAATAAGGGATGTCAAATAGAGCGTTTAAAACACAAGAATTTTATGTAATTTAGTTTTGTGAATACAATATACATCGTCTAAAAAATGTGTGAACAGCCTCTGTATGTATCCGCTAATGGGTTTCTAGTTCTGCCATTTTCCCAATTTGCATCTGAATATGCAGTTATTATAGGTTCTCGAATTTTATTAAAAACCAGCTTCAAGTTTTCAGTTGTATTTAAGTATCAAATGATCTTTTTGACAGCATTCCAATCTATTTTCCGAGGTTTTTCATTTCTTCTATTCAGTAGATTGATGGCTCAAGCTATATCAGGTTGACTGATTGTTGCAATATGTGGTAATGCCCTTACTGCTTGTCTATATTGTGCATCATCTTCTAGAAGATCATCTTCATTTTCTAGTTTGTAGTAGTTTGTTTCCATTAGCGTATATGTTGGTTTTTCATCTTAAAGTCCGAATCTTTGAACTATGTCTTGAATTTTATCCTTTTGGTTTATGGCAAGGGTTCCATCTTTTGATCGTTCATTTTTTATGCCAAAATAGTAGGTGACTTCTAGGTCTTTGATTTCCAGTTTAGCTTTTAGTTGTTAGATTGTTTTCATTGCAGCTTCTTCACTTTCACTTCAAATAAGTATATCATCTACATATAATATTATGTATGTGAATTTTCTATTGATGTTTTTTGAAAAATAAGCATGGGTCTGCTTTACTTTGTTTAAATTATATGTTTGTAATTATATAAGTTTTTTTCCAGTTTTCGTATTATAAGCTCTAGCTGCATATTTTAGTCCATATATTGATTTCTTCAGCTTGCAAACTTTATTTTCAGTTCCAGCTTTTGCATATCCTTCAGGTTGAGGCATGTGATTTTCTTCTTCTAGTTCTCCATGAAGGAAAGCTGTTTTGAAATTGATATGTCTGATAGACATGTTTTTTTATGAAGCTGTACATGGGAAAGCCCATAGAGTTGTATATTTTACTACAGGAGCAAAGGTTTCATCATAGTCAGATCCAAACTTCTGGTTAAATCCTTTTGCAACTAATTTGGCTGTGTATCTCTCGATTTTCCCTTCTGCATTGATTTTGGTTTTGAAAGTCCATTTGCAGTCTATTGGTTTTCTTTCTTTTGATAAATCAACTAAAGTTTTTTTTTTTTTTTTTTTTTCCTAGGGAGTTAATTTTTTCTCAAACAAACTGTCACCCATCCCCCCCTCCAAATTTGAATTTTCTTCCATGTTTTGGATTTGGGACAGACTGGATATTTTGCATGATATCCATAGCGATTAGGAGGTTTACCTTTTATGTTTCTGTTTGATCTTCTGAGTTCTAAAGATTCTTTGTCGGATTCTGATATTTCTTCTTTTCCAGGCTCTTCAATTTTTATTTCTTCCTGTTCTGAATTTTCTTCCTTAGGATTTTCTTTATCTTGGTTGAAAGAGATGCTTACAGGCTCGTTAATACCAATATCTTCAATAAGTCGAACAGATCGACTTATTATGATTTTGGCTCCAGGAATTAAAATTCTGTAGCCTTTACTTCTGCTGTCATAGTGGACGAGTATTTCTTCTATAGCAGTATCATCCAGTTTACCTCTTATAGATTTATAAGCAAAGGCCTTGAACACAAATATCCTCAGATGGGAAAAGTTGGATTTCTTGTTATTCCATAATTCATATGATGTTTTTGCATTGGGTTTTGTAGGCATAAGATTTTATAAATAATTTGTAGTCAGTACTGCTTCTGCCCAGTATTTGTAAGGTTGACTTGAATCGGCTAAAAGGCATCTTGTGATTTCTAGTAAAGATCTGTTTTTGCATTCACTAACTTTATTTTGTGCTGGACAATGTGGAATAGTTAGCTAGTAGTTTATACATGTTTTATGAACTGTTCTTCAAATTCTTTACTTGCTATTCACCAATATTATCACTTCTTAGCATTTTTACTTTTTTTCTGAATTTTTTGTTTGTAAAAGCAATAAATTGTTTTAGTTTAGAAATTACTTCATTTTTTCTTTTCATTAGGTGAATCATTGTAAACCTACTGTAATCATCAGTAAACATTCTGAAGTACAGGTAACCACTGACAGATAGTGTTTGTATTGGTCCTAAAATGTCCATGTGGAGGAATTCAAGCAGTTGGGATGCTCTAAATTTTGATTCTTTGGGATGCTGAAAATCAGTTACACTGAATGCATTTGGTATTATGTTTGCAATTATCTAGTCTAAGTCCTTCAGCAAGATCTTTGCTTACAAGTTATTTGATCATGTCCTCCTTTTTGTGACCAAGGCATCTATGTCAAAGTTGAATACAGTTTTCATTTTTGCCCTGAAATGTTACGTGAACTGAAAGCTCTTTGTTCCTGTCGATTGGTTTAAATTGGTAAAGACTGTTAGTTGCATGACATTCTAGAATAATTTGATCTCCTTTCACGATCATACATTTATTTCCTTCGAACAGAACCGAGAGTCTCCTTTCTGTTATTTTCTTAATTGAAATTAAATTGGTTTTTAATCCAAGAACATATAGACTTCCAATAAGAGAACTTCAATTATTTTTTGTTCAGGATTTACTGTTTTAAAATGGACAGTTACTGATTTCTGTTTGCTCATTAGCTGATATCTGAAGGATTTATTGATTCAAACTCTGTGAATATTTCTTATTATTTGCGAAGTGATTACTTGCACTGCTATCAAAAACAAAACTCTCTGCTGATTGATGAATGATGTTGTCAGAAGACAGAGTATCTGGATTCGATTTCTGATGTTTTATTTTTGGTTTCTTCATGATTCATCACGAGGTTACATTCATTCTTTGCTTGGCAATTTTTAAAATCCACGTATGTTTTCTTAGAGTTTGGGCACAATTCACCTTTTTGTTCGATTTTAGATGAAAATACTTTGATCTAAAATGATTATTTTTGTCACGGTATGGGCAGAATTTTTCTTTGTTTTATTTGAATTGAGTCTTTAAATGCCTTTGAATCTAATGAATTATATTCAACTGTCTTATTGAATCCGTCGATTAATTTTCCTTTTATGAACTCTGGGGTTAGTTCTTTTCTGTTCTCGCTTCAAGAATCAAATTATCGGTTATCAGCGTATTGTAAAAAATGGGCATTGAACAAAGCAAAAGTGCTGAAATATGATCATCCTTTTGTCCTCACTTATTGCTTTAAGCTTATTGACTAACTCCAGCTAAATATTTATCAAGAGAGCGTTCAATAATTAGTCATTGTGAGAGAGTTTTAACAGTGTCCTTACATGAAGGTGTGAGAAGAAGGAAGAAAGGAAAAAGCGAGTCACTCGGTTAGCTTTTCCATAGCACACCCAGATTGCTTCTTCTGTCACCTTATTGGCAGCTGTACACACCTTTCAGACTTTTTTCCTTATGTTTTATGAGTAGGTTTTGAAGAATTAGCTTGCACTAGTTACAAAACAGTCATATTTTTATTTTTATACTGGATAAATAAAACTGAAACTCTTGATAAAGCTCATGTATGTGTTATGCTTCTCTAATGAATATATTTATGAAATAATGAGAATAAGTTAATTGTAATAATTAACCATGACACCCAGTAATTTATATATTATAGTTTTTACGGTATTTTTAATTAGTTGCTTATCTTATATTTTTGCCTTTTTGTAGGAGATCCATCTCCTCGTCCTAGTTATCTTGCTGATAAATATGCAACTAGTGCTGTTGTTCCTCCTCTTCCTGTATCTGTGAGTATATTTTATAAAAGAATATAAGTAAGAAGTTAGTTTTTTTCATATACAAATTAGTTTTCCTATTCAAATATGTTAGTTCCTGTGAAATAGATTGCCAATCTTTGTTCTTTTACATCATTTTAGAAGTAAATTTTATGCCTCTGAAGTAAAGCAAAAATTTTGGTTTATTTAATTATATACCATTTATATTAGAGAAAGAATTGTCTAAATTGTATAGATTTTGTTTCACTTAAAATCTAAATTATTAGCTGTGCAAGAGTATTAAGTGTGTTATTTTTAATTTTCTTTGTTTATTGATTTCATTAGCCTACTAGAAAACCAGAACCTTCTCCTCCTACAACACCAGAAGATGATGATGAGCCAGATGAACCAGAGGCTCCTCCACCTCCCATTGCTGCAAGACCTGAGAAAACTAAATCAATTGTATGTGACAAGCTTGTTACAATTAAATTCTTTGTTTACTTTACTTTGCATATAATCTGAATTCTGTTTTGATATGCTTTATTTGAGTACTTGTAATAGTAAGTTTTAATCTCTCCTTCCCATTATTATTCCATCCCTCCCTCCTGTTACGTCGCTAATGTCTTCCCGTGCAGTTAGCAACATAATGGGAAAAGCAGTTGATTTATCAAACTGTTTAAACAGGTCAAATCATTATAGCTCAGTGACTAGGAAAATCAATATCAGAAACAGCGAGTGTAGAGGCTTGTTCCAGTTGTTGTGAGCACATATCAAAAGTGGTGTATGGATGGTGAAACAAGTCGCCGGCCAGCAGTGTGTCATCGGTACATTGATTCCAGAGGAGAGCAGAGATAGCTATGCATTGTTTGCCGTGACCGAGGAGCCACAACAGCCAAAATCACCACCAGCTGCAACAGTGGTGACCCAGACAGTGTTTCTTAACATACTTTGCAGCTGCTTATTGGAGCATGTCGAAGCATGTCCCTGCAGTGATGGCATGCCATTGTCAGCTGCATCTGCAGTGGGCCAAAAAACATCGGAATTGGACATTAGAAGAATGGAAGAAAGTTGCATGGTCCGACAAATCACATTTTCTGGTCCATCACATCGATGGTTGTGTGCTAATGTGCCGATTTCCAAACAAAACCCTGGCTCCTGGATGCACAGTTGACAGAGACAAGCCAGTGCCAAGGGTATCATGGGGTGGGCAATGTTTTCATAGAACGCATTAGAACCCATAATCCCCATAGAACAATCCCTGAACTCTATGCACTACATGAAGATCACTGCAGACCAGGTTCACCCGTCCACGATAACAGTATTTCCGGCGGGGAAGGGTGTTTACCAGTAGGATTAATGCACCATGCCATAAGAGTCTAATTGACAGGAAGTGGTTTGAAGAACATTCCAATGGCTTTCAAATTATAGCTTGGCCTCCAAATTCACCTGACATTAATCCAATGGGGCATTTGTGGTACCACCTGAAAAACAAATTTGTGCTGCCACGCTACCCCCTTGCAATGTGTGGAAATTGCAGGACCATTTGGTGAGGCTTGGTACCAGATACCTCAGACTATGTATCAGCACCTTGTGGAGTCAGTGCCACACTGGGTGCTGGCAGTTTTGAGGGCTAAAGGGGGTCCTACATATTACTAACAGTGTGTTCATAATGTAATGGCTCTTTGGTGTATATGTACACAATAAATAAATTTTGTTCTGTGCATTTAACTGACAGAAAATGTTTATTTTTAGGATAAGACATCTTCCACATAGATGGGAAAAAATTAATGCAGGTTTAGTTATTATTATTGTTATAAATAACACTGCTATTCATTGAATTAAGTAGTTTATTTGGGTTATTTTTGTTTATTAATGTACTAGAAATTTAACTATGTTATGAAAAATGGGATTAAAATTTAAGATAGTATAAAAGCAAACCACTTGAAATTTTGATCTGTTTATATTTCCTGATATATTTTAACTAAATTATTGTAGTAATTTGCTCGTTTTTCTTATAGTATACAAAACCAGTTGATGAAGAAGTTAAAAATGAAGCCCTATCATATGATAAACGAGATATAGCTAATAATAATAATGCTCCTGCTACTATGACTCCAGCTCCTACAACCACCTCTATAGTGAAAACAAGAAAAAAGAAACTATCTGATGATGAAATTATGGACAAAATTAGAAGTATCGTCTCAGTTGGAGATCCAAATCGTCGTTACACAAAGATTGAAAAGATAGGAGCTGGGTAGGTATACTTTTCATACTGATGAAAGAAAAGTTTCATATTTACCATTTATATGTTTCTTTCTCCAAATGTGTAATAAATGTCACATTTGAAAAGTTTGATCTTTGTTTAATGTGTAACTAATTATTAAAATATCTGAAATAATTTTTAAGTGAAACATTATCATACGTATCAGATATTTATTTGAAGGATATGAATCTGTCATTTCTGTAGTCTTATTTTCTTACACTTTGTCAATTTCAGAGCATCAGGTACTGTGTACACTGCCATCGAGTCTGCCACAGGAATGGAAGTTGCCATCAAACAAATGAATTTACCCCAACAGCCAAAGAAAGAACTCATAATTAATGAAATTTTAGTAATGCGAGAAAAAAAGCATCCTAATGTTGTGAATTATCTTGACAGCTATATAGTTGGTGATGAACTTTGGGTAGGTATTCATTAGTTTGTAAATATGATCTAAAAAAGAAAGGGAACAACTTAAATTGTTCCTACTTTTTTTTATTTATTATTATAATGCTGTCTCATATTTGCTTAGCAGAAAAATATACTGACTTGCTTTTTTTTTATTTTTTACATGGAAAATAAAATAATTTGCAATAAACTGTATAATATATGTAAACTCTTAATGTTAAATTTATGAAATATATTGCAAGCTAAAAGAAAGTTACTACAGCTAACTCGTAACTGACATACAACAAGCATAAGATTACAGTTGTATTGTTTATTATGATTTTACTTTTTCTCCGCAACTGTATATGTATCGTTAGACTGAAATAAGAATGAAATGTGATTCTATATAATAGCAATCATTAATGATAAACCTTTCCCACACAGTTCCTCAGTTGCAAGAGTGAACTGTTATGCCTCACTCATTACTGTACAATGACACTCAAAAATAATAGAATTTTATTTTTCTTCGAGTCTAATACTTCAGTACTTCAGCTTCTCTTTCTGTCATCTTTGACAGTTTATGACAGGTATATAAAAAGAAATAACATGTTAAAAAAAAAAGCTAAATTTCATGTCCTGCACATATATTATACACTACACAACAAATATTTCAATTGAATTGTTATATAATTGTTGTAAATTGACAGTTGCTATCTGTTATGAAAATTAGGTAATTAAGAGTATTATAATCTGTTGCAGAGAATGGGTAAGAGCATAAAAGAGCGCATTTCCATTTTGCCGGCACAGGCAATAAAGTTGCGTAAAATGGTACAATCGATGCTAAACAAAATATCCTCGCTGGTAACCTTTTACTCCTCCTTTTCAAAAGAAGTTGCAGCCATTTCTAATCAGATTGATTGTTTCTTTCAATACTGGCATACAATTACATAGAATTTTTACCATATAGTTCAGTTTTATGCCTTAAGGCCATCCGTGGTAATCAAGTCAATTAGGATGCAATCACACCACTCACTCGAAAGCGAAAATATAGAAAAGGGTTAAATTCATCCATTCTAATGAGAATGCACTAGCGAGAAGTAAAGCACTGCGGTTTTACATAATTTCTGAGTAAGCTTTTCGTACAAATTAAAATGATCCTTGCACTGAAACTTCTATTCCATATAAGATTTAACTTGAAATTAATGTAGGTTATTACTGAAAGAATTAGATTTTTCTAGCATAGTTTATGTTGACATGAGATCACTTGGGGTCACGTGATATGAACCGTTGAATCAGGATGTTGTACCATGAAAGCATAGTAAATTCTTAAATTAATGTCTTTTTATAAATTTATTTTCCTTATTTATTGTCTTTTTGCAAAATTTTAAATGATATTAAAATGTTTATGCCTTCAAAATAAAAATTCTTAGAACTAACATTTGTTAATATTTTTCATGTGTATACTGTGTGTTGTCGCCTATAAATCCTGCTTGGCAAGATTTGCGCCGGCGAAACCGAACAGTACCCATAAAAGTGATATATTAGCATGCAAAGATATTTTATTAATCATGTTAAATTAATGCAGTTTAACTACATTGAAGAAATAGAAAAGGTAATAAAAATTTACTTATAACAAGCAACAACTCATAGTACCTGTTTTGAAGAAAACCATATGCTATAAACTGCATGCATTTTTAGACCTATTTGCAACATATCATTATAAATCCATTGAGTTCCTCTGTTTAATCTTAAATAGAATAAGGAAAAATTGATTGTCAAGCCATAGTTACAAATAGTATGTTTGATTACATTGTGCATATGTTAAGTTTATGTGGCTGATGCACTCATTATTTTACTAGTTCTTCATGTTTTCTCATTATAGGTTATAATGGAATATCTCCCTGGTGGTTCTTTAACAGATGTTGTTACTGAAACTTGCATGGGAGAGGGTCAGATAGCTGCAGTCTGTAGAGAGGTCAGTTTTCTTATTGTGTCATAATTTTAATTTCTTAATGGTCACAAATGAAAGGCCATTTATATGCCATTGCATTTTAATTATAAATATGTAATCTATGTATTAAATATCTCACAAATCAAATCTACAACTCAATTTCTACCATTTTCCTATAACCACAGAAATCTCAATTCTTCCACAAAAACTAAGCTTCAGAGAACTTACATTTTACAGACCTTGGCAGAAACCACCAGAAAACAAAACAAAAACTTGATAAAACAAACTTTACTAAGAAGTCAAATACAAAACTTAAGCCAAAACAAGAATTAACCCCAAATTCTGCAACAAGTCCAACCAAGAAAGAAAATTCACTAACTAAATCAAATATATTATGATCCACTAGTAAATTCAAGACAAACTACCAACAAATTCAGCAACAATCCAACCAAGAAAGAAAATTCAATAACTCAAATCAAATATTATCACTAGCAAATTCAAGACAAACTACTTGTAATCAACAGAAAATTCCCACACATGAGTACAGAGCAAAAGTAACTAATCTTCTCAAACTTATTTCAAAAATTTTCACAAAAACAAATTCCCGTTGTCACAAAATTCTCATTAAAATTCACTTTCTACAATTCACAAGACTAACTCAATTTCTACTGTTTAAACAATTCTCACATGACAACTCTTCACAAACTTAAAACTCAGAAGATAACTAATCTCAATTACTCTGACTCATTAAACTAATTAGAACTTCACTCAAGCTGATGAAGAATTCAATCCAAAAAAAATTTAAATAACCAAACATCACTATTGCTGATCTCAGGCAAAAATTCAAATCTAACCCATGTTAACTTTAAAACAGAATTTTGCAATTGAAAAAACAATCTTACAAATTTTTAACTCATTCATTTGTATTATCATTATGCCATTATTAAGTCTTAAGAACTTATAAAATTCATTGCTCAATACTAAATTAAATTTACTAACACATTACACAATATACTGGAATCATATCAAAACATTGTAAATCAAAAAGCAATAATATACTTGGTACGCTAGATAATCATGAAAACATTACATACATTTCACAAAATATTATTCAATTCAATTCAAAAAAATCAAAATTTCTCTAACGTTACCCCTCACAATTACACATTTCACAAGATTCTAGGTTAAATAATTAAAGCAAAAACACACAAAAAAAATTTCTAGCTACGCATAGCTATGGCTTGTCTCATTCAGTAAAATAATTAGAGTCTTTAATCTCTTTCTCTTAGAAGTGCTCAAAAAATGAGTCCAGTTTTTACTGACAAGCATTCAAAAATTGATACAATGATACGCAAATAGATTTTCTGAATTCAAGATTTCAACAGTAAAAAACAGTACCTATTCTGCTAAATTTAAAAAAAAAAAAAAAATTTTTCCTAATTTTAAAGTTCAATTCTGTTGCCTAACGTTAAAGTCCAAAATTTCCTGAAATTCACACACATTTTCAAAATTTATCACTCTCGTATTAACAAATAAGCAAACACAAATCAAAAACTCTAATTAATCCTAGCACATAATTTAACACCTTCACTTAAAACAGTAAGTTACACAAAATAGGTAAATTCAAAATAAATTATCGATCCAATCCTTCACTAATCCTGGTCACGGCACCAATGTTCTGTTTCCATATGGCATCTAAAGGTATAAACACCGATACAGAAACAGATAGGGTGAAAATCGTAACTACCTAACTACCAAACTGAGAATAATACTCTTAAGAGCTAGTTAGTTAACTTCAATATTTTTCATGATCGTACAAGTGAAATTATTTGCAGTGCGTTGTGTAAATGCATCCGGAACCGTGCCGTGAGAGGATCGGATAAACAAGAGGTAAAATGCAATATACATATAAGGAAACACACAAATAGATATAAAGAAAACATAAGAAATAGGTTCCAGATTAAAATACAGTTTATTCTGATTCCTCAACAATTAAAATTAAATTTTACATCCAAGGTAATGAATACTCAATTCCTTATGTTTAGTTACACATGTGAACTCTTCAATTTATATCATTTACACATTCAAATTAAGGATTTGCAAATTTCATTTTTTTTTTTTTTTTTTTTTTTTTTTTTCAATTAACTTAATGAAATTAGTCTCAGAATTCACCTTATGACCCATTTAATTTAACTTTAACCAGAACTACTGCAGTACATCCTAGGATGTTAAAAAACACATTATCTGAAATTCAACATCTACAATGAGGATGATTTCACAAAAACAAACTATATTTTTACACCACAATTAACTTATTAAGATTTTCATTTTTGTCCCTGTAAAAGAAAGACAGGGAAAAGGGACGACGATTTTCAGCCATTTAGAATTAATTTAGAGATTAATTTTAAGTTCAAAAGACTGGAATTTCCTTAAGATCATAGGAATAAATGAAAACACAGGAAAAACTTAAGTAGACATCTTGAAGTGGAGGAGAACTTTATCTTAACTCTATCCTTACGACACCTGGCAAATCCACACCCCAGGGACTCGAACAGCACTGCAAGAAATTTCATCACACTCAATGAAGGTCAGGAAAATTGGAGTATTCGGAATAGCAGTCCTGGTCCATTCCCATAAGAATATTTGCACTGGCTAAGTACTCAAGAGAGCAGCTGATGCAGGTTTTTCATCAGTCCAAGATAACCAAATTCCTTCCCTCGGTTTTCCGTCGAAGTTCAGGGGACATCGTCCTGGCCTAGCATAGTTCAATCCCACATTTGGTTTTTGCGAAACACGCGGCTGGGGAACATAATTGCCTTTTACATTGTCAGTCCCAAAACTCAAGTTTCAAAAGAATTTGCATAGTTCAATCTCACATTTTGCGAAACACGCGGCCGGGGAATATATTTGCCGCTCCCCGCCGGAAGAACAACTTGATGACGAACTACATCTTTTCCTTTCTCCTTCGCAACACCCACAATTTTTTTCTCAGCATCAGTCAACAAGTCCATCGAAAAAGTTATACACTCGAATTTTCTTCGTCTCCTTCACAAACACGGGCTCCCACAATGGCTTCATTTATCGCCCCCCTATTTGGGACTAAAATTTACATTTCAACCCCTGAATGACAAAAACTAGGGTGATCACACATGCGCGCCCCTCTTCACTTAGCCAACGACCGGACACCGGATCGCCAAAACCAGATGACTTACATCGAAATTTAAGTGGCAGCCTCTGACCCTTCTATCACGTACTTCCTGTCCTAAAGGTCAATCGCACAAAAGAAATTTGTTCTCGAACATTCTAAATGACAAAACAACCAGCGAAAATCATGACTTAGCAAAATCGCCTCCCTTTCCTGCTTCTTTTCACAATGAATCAAAGCTTGGACAAAAATTGCAAATAAAAGGAAAATAAATAATATTCTTAGAAGCATCTGTTTTTTTTTCCCAAAATTAAAGCATTAAAATAAATAATTCAGAATTAAATAAAATAAGATTTTCTTAAATCAGAAAAACAATTCACCTGGTTTTTTATAACACGATCAAACAGTTATCTACTCAACATTTACATGAAAATACACTTAATTGCTTATCTTGTAAAATAATTTTCAGAAGCACTATTCAAATTATTCCAAAGTTTTAATTGATAAAATCCATCAATAAAGTTTAAAATTAATAAAACAACACAATAAAGACTATTTACAGTAAGAAGTAAATTTAAAATGAAGACTGTGGTAAATCTCTAAGCACAAAGAAGTATCACTTTCTAACTCTTAGAAAAAGTATCACTTTCTAACTCTTTAGAAAATGAATCATTACGCTCTCATCTGCATTAGTAAATTAGTAAATGGTTCATTGACCATACGAGGGTATTTTTCCTCTGATAAATGGTGCCTTCGCGCCATAATAGACAAGAGGTGAGACTTCCAGAAATAAAAGGAGAAAAAACGGAAATACATCTGAAGGCAAGTGCTAAAACGTAACAGTATTCCAGTATACTAACCCTGAAAGACCGTATATAGTAAAGGAAAAAATAGAATAAAAAAAAAAAAAAGGAATTGGATATAAATCAGACACACAAATGTTTTCATTAGCACGCAGCGATTTAAAGAGCTCACCTCGATTTACGCTCTCAAGGTCAGGAACATAAAACTGTGTTCATTTTAAAAGTAATGGACATAGCATGCCATGTAGTGGCCTTCAGAAAAATGTTTCAGCTTAAAATGCGTATACGCATCACCCGTCCTCTGAATGCAATCTCTAGTGATGCATGGATGGGACGCGCAGAGATGTTCTTAGGGAATGCATATATTGGACGCCCGTCCTGAAAGGGTTAAGTGTCTTGGTTTAATATTTTTATGTTCTGTCATAAAAATAGGAATATGCCTATAATAAATCTTTCTGAAATACATGACTTTGAAATGAATGTGTTTTCTATAATTCTTGTATAATGCTAATGTTCTATGTAGAGTCAAAAAAAGAGGAGAACTGTTCTAAATCTCCCATTATCCTTGGCCAACTGATGAGATTCGACTTGCGTTTTTCATGTCTTGAATAGATGACTTATATTGATGTATAGCATTGTACTAAAATATATATTTTGACACAATTTTTTTTTTTTTTTTTTTTCCTTATTTTGATCCTACATCTTAAATTATGCCAAAATGCAGAGCTTCATAAAAATTGTCTGAGTAGTTTTTAAAAAACTAGAGTGCACTGAGTAGTTTCTCTAGAGTGCACTGAAAACCAAAATAATCTCATCAGTGTCAAATTATTTCACGCTTTTACTTTGTAACTGAAAGCACATGACCGAAAACATAATGTTCCGTTTCTCCAATGAGCATCGAGTTTTTAAAAAACTACACTGATGGGCAAAACTGCAGTGTAAATTTTAATCAGATAGCCATGAAATTGCGGAAAAGGGGTTCTTGCGATCAGTACAATGAACCTGCAATTCAGTAGAAAGGTCATGCAGAGATGGGGAGATTTGTTGCCAAATCTCCCCATTTCCGACTGTTCTCC